TCCAACAAGGTGATATTCATTTCTTAAAATCAGTTGTTCTGCACAACATTTTTCATGGGATGCCTGGGGTTAATGATAAATACCCCTTAGTAGCTCGCCTTCACTGAAACAGCCACCCAAACAAAAGCTGGATTGCTCGCCTGTGGTAATGTCTGTTACTCAGCAATGTTGGAAACATATAAAGACATTGCAACACAACAATATAAAGTTACGATTAGCAGCGAAATCAACCTGTTGTTAAAAGTGGTGTGCCACAGGCTTGATGCCTCGAAGCTTGGCATAATGACACAATAAAGCGTGATAAGGTTGTTTTAGTTTACAATCGATAACTGAAAAATACATGTCTAGGGCCTTCTACAATTAATGTACTGTATATTTACAGGCATTGCTTTTAAAACTCTGAAATGAAATGAAAGCAATATTTATGTGTCAATGTTTTTAGCTTTATGGCTAATGAGGGACAGTTCTACGTTTTTAGACCAGCTTTTTAATGATGAGGCGTTCATAGTAGTCCATAGAGTACAAATTGTACGTAGCAGAGTCCTTGTCAATTTCACATTATTCTCTCAGTATGGTGTTTAGCAATACGATTGTTGTCATCACCAGTTTTTGTCTTTCGTTTGTGTTCAGTCAGTTGTGTGCTTAGGTTTCTAGTTGATCTCTCTGTCAACTGTTATTCAGTTGGTCTTTGCCCCGATACTCGTCATAATCAGGTACATTCCATAATGCATGGACGTGATGAATCTCATAAAACAGTTTCTGTTCGGATTTCATGGAGGTAGGGTTCTCGAATAATTTCTAGTTCTTTTGGCATTTTGAAAAGAACAGGATTTTAAGGGATACATTACTTGGTCTGTGCTAAAACGTGCTGTCGCCTTTTGGTGATTTCCCACACATGGCGCATAAAAAAGTTAAGTTTAAGTCATTTTGTTTGCACAGTTTGAACTTCGGCGACCGCTGGTGCGTTCACTGTTCACTCTCAAGAGCTTGGTTCTTCCATCTCCCTGTAGTAAAATTGCAATTTCATGCCTTCCACACATTCTCGAAAAACTTTCTGTTACTCCCACGTTAGGTCAAAGCATTTTTCCTCCTTTATAATCCTCATCATAGTCGGTATTATCTTTCAGTTTTATGAATTTTGAAGCTCCGCTTTTAGGCTTGGCTAAATATATATATTAACTTTACGCTTGTCAACTTGGGAGTAAACATTATACTCCTTCGATAAATATTACAGACAAAGGCGATCGAGGGAGAGCTTTTTTTTACCACCTATCCGACTAAGTTATTGTGGTAAACTGGATCTAACTTCACTGTAGCCTTCCACGCAGACGTTTTTAGCGGAATACGAGCTCTCCTACAAAAAAAGCCTGCGTGGGAGGCTATCTTCACTGCTGCTGTATATGTCGTCACAATGACGTATTTCGGGACCAAAAACATGTCATAGCACCACATGCACTACGTAAAAAAACTACAATTTATTTTGATTTTATGTAATTTTGTCCTTGCTCCTGTGCCAATACATTCATTTTTCTCGCGTTAAAAATACCCCTAATTTTGACCATATATGGTCATTTGGCGGTAAATTGATTTCCTTTAATTAGCTGTAACTTCACACCATTTTATCCTATTGAGATGGGGTTTTGACAAATATTCTTCCTGTGTAGCAAAAATATCTGTAACGTTTTGAACACTGCTTTTCAAATTTTTAATGCTGTTACTAAAAATAGGTGTCACTTTTGAAGTCAGACTTTCAAGAAAAGTGAAAAATACCTTTACAATGGTAAAAATTTGAAGAAAATTTTTTTCTGATTAAGATGTTCGAACGGCTTGCTTAATTTGGAATATAAACTACTCTTCTGTGAGCCAAAAATTGAATTTAAGAAGTTGCGAGAGGAAAACCCCTATCAACCGACCATCGTGAAAGGTATTATTTAATCTGATTTAATCTGATTTAAGTCAATATACTAAAAACATAGAAACAAATTAAAAGTTGGGTAAAAAATGACATATACATCATAAGTTAGTTAAACAACAACAGTTATTTTCTGAGGAATTTCGATTACCCTTTTCTCTTTGACTGATGCTATCTTAAACCGATGCCTGTAATAAGAACGCAGAAAGAAGTAATGGTTAATTCTTGTTTGTAATCAATCCAACAAGAACATTTACCCTGAAAAGGATGAACATTAATTCCTTATTAAATGAGATGTTTTAACAGCTGACACGGAACACATAATTAAGTGCCTTAAACTACTGCTGAGACTCTAGTCAGCTGTCTAGTATTTATAGTATTTTCCCAGCAGCTTGAAATCAAATCACGTTTCAACTTCCTCTAGCTACAACAAGGTAGGTGATCAGAAATGTTTCGATACTTTACGATAAACTCTACTTGCAATAGAAACACACTACAGTTAAACCTCTCCTCTCCGAAACGGCTACCTGGGGGACAGAAGAAATTGGCCGTTGTCTGAGAAGAGGTTTAAACAGGAGACAATGTGTGAACCGACCGCCCCAAAAAGTGGCCGTTGAAGAGAGTTTTCCCGTTGTGAAGAGGTGGCCGCTAGTGGAGATTCGACTTTATAACCGCTTCGAATTCGGAAGTTGAAACAGAAAATTCATCCCGATTTTAATTCCAAAAGGTTCCACAAAGGGCATGTGAATCATTTAAGCGCATTATAACGTTGGGGATAGGCACTTTCGAAATATCGTTTTCTTCTTTCAAAAGAACGCAGAACAAGTCTTCAATTGCCATATGGACTTATAGCGAGTAAAATTATGCACTCCTTCGGAATATCGCTCTTCTTACCTTATTTCGTCGTTCGTGACTTAGAAAATTTGTTAAGTGATTTGTAACCAGGATCGCATTGGTTGTTTACCATGGATAAACCGGTCGGTTCACGGACCGGTTAATTTCTTCCCGGAATCACGTTTACCATTTTTACAAACATGTTCCATTCACCAAAAAACGGTGCAAAGGCCGGAACCTAGTATGAAAGATGACTTTCAAAAAATGGAACACGCCGAATTTCCGATTCGAACATTCCGTCAGGAAAACTGGACTACTTTTTCAAACGTTCCGTTCGGGTATTTCCAGAATTTTTTGGAGATGGTAAACAACTATAATCTTTATGAATTTCATATATTGATACTGTCGAACCCTGACTACCTTTTTTTAATTGCAGATGATGTCACGTTTGAGTTTCCTATTCTTATTCCTGTGTGTTGTAATACAGCGGAAGGCCATTGATGTCAATGGGTGTTGCAGCTGCGAGGAGGTAATTTAAAGATTTCAAAACGTTCTTGGCATTTAATAATCTAAATGCATACTTCCTTTCGCAATCATTCCGTTATCAATCTTTCCACTTTCTTTCCGGTTTCCATGTAAGGTAATTCAAGTCTCAGATTCTGGATTCCACGCTGTGGATTCCGGATTCAAGGTACTGGATTCCGGTTTCCGGATTCCAATCGTTAGCGAGATTCCGGATTTCTTGAGCTAAGTTCAGGATTCGAAAGCCCAGGATTTCGGATTCCACAGGCAAAAATTTCATGTATTCCGGAATATGGATTACCTTACGTGGGGCAATTTTGGATCATTTTACGTTTCTGGGAAACTGCCCACGTAATAATAATAATAATAATAATGGAATTTATATAGCGCTTATACATCGCTGTTCTACCCCTCCCCTAAGCCAACATTAACACTTACGTCTCACTTAGGGAAAAATGTTGGCTTAAGAGGGAGGGGTAGGTGGGCAGTTTCCCAGAAACGTGTAATGAACCCATATTAACAATTCGACTTGAGGACAACTACAAATAACTTACTAACTGACAGTTGTCTTTTGTCAGTTTCCCAAAGACTGCTTCAGTCTTCCACCGAACTCACCAAGTGGTGTGTATAAGATACAGCCCCTGGTCGACAAAAAGCCATTTGATGTGTACTGCGAGACGGCAATTCATGGTGGAGGCTTCACCTTTCTTCCTCGTGGCTTCACTAGATTACCATATGCACAAAACATCGTCAAAGTTTTATTTCGAGACAAGAAGAACGTCCTACTTAAATTGCAGAAAAAGGTTGATCGTAGCGAGGCATACACTCTGATCCAGCCTCATCCGTCGTTCGCGAACACAGAGTTTGGTGTGTTAATCAACAGCTTCCAGGGTTACACCACGCCACAGAACGCCTTCATGAAAGAGTACATCTTCCTCGGTATTATTCCTGCATCAGCTGCACGCCACCGAAGTGTTCAAGGCTTCAGATCCAATGGGCACACAGTCCAGTTTACAAATTGCGATGCCAATCCAAACAGCTATTTTGCATTCATGCCAAACCACAATCTGCAAACTCCCAGTTCCTACCACAGCCACAACCTAATCTACGAGAAAGTAGGTGTGGCTGTCGACTGGCGCTCCAAGGCAATTCCCATCACCCATCCTGATCGCACCATGCCGAACGAATTCTTCTTCTTGACAGAACTGCATTTTGGTGGTTGTGGAACCTACACCTCCAGTAACCGATGGAGCAAGTTTGGCTTTCATGCCACCGCCATTGGAATTCGCTAAGAGTTGGCTTTTCCCTTCTCACCTTTAGATTGCTAATTCGACGTAGCTACAAACTTCTGTTTTTGTGTTGACTTATTTTAGGGTAAACCTTCTGAAATTTTGGTGTTTCAGTTTTCACAACGATTTCAATAAAACGACCCGTTAGTTTCAAGTGCTCAGTACACTTCGGAAAGTTGGTCGGTTTCGGATTAGATGTAAATGTAAGTTAAATTCATGTCAGACAAAAACAGGCTAAGTGTTTGTTGTAACTTAAAGAAACAGGTGAGAACAAAGAAAAATAAAAGTTGTTAAAATAGTCTTTGAGCCTCTTACTTCTTGATTGACGACCGGCATTGCAACAAAAATATCTTTGATAGCGACACACAACTGACGTCATTATCACTAGCAGTGGGAGCAGCAGTTTAAATTGCGATTGATTAGTCCGAATGCGCTCGCATAGGTCAGATTTCACCCAACGACTACCAGTTGATTCTGTAAAATATCTGTTCGAACAAACAAACAAAGTCTATAATTTTCTATAGCTTGAGGACGGTTGGACACATGAATTTTCCATTGGGGGCGGGGAGGCGAGGTCTGGGACGAGAAACCACATTCTCACAACTCTCAAAGCGGTCACACTGCGTGGTGGTCAGCGGATAATAGCAGTTTTATGCAACAAAATTAGTGCTACAAATAGGCATGCTATATATTAACTAAAGTGGAACCACTATATGATGCTTACACCACATACCTACCTATCGCTGTTTCCCGACCGCTGGTCAAGGGAAACGAAGACGCTGGGTACGAGGGTGCTTCGTGTGGCTTTGCGTCAGTTATTTGACAATGTTAATGGCAAATATCAAAAATCGAAAGAAATTGCAACTGATTCAAACTATTTGAGATGTCATGCTTTACTCACAGTACTTCACTTTCCACTGGAAACTACTTGTTCTTGTAAGCAGGATACAAAAGTGCGGTACTGGGGGCAACAATTTTGACAAATGGAAATAGAGAATACTTCATGGAAAGTGCTGGCGTACGGTATTTACGCACGACTTATTTGTTGACGTATCAGAAATCGAACGAGTGAGCGCAGCGAACGAGTAAGATTTCTGATACAAAAACAACGAGTGCGTAAATACCGTCCAAAGCACTTTCCATATGGTATTGTGTTTATTATATACATACTGAGACATTCATCATTTTGGCGGCCTTTTTCTTTTAAATCTTTCAAAAATGCTAAAATTTGCCGCTACACACTTACCGCAAAATGACAACGAAAACGAAGTATCATCTTTTTAGTAAAAACGTTTGTTAAAAACATAAGTGACGGTAAGGATATGAGGTAATCCAAGAACTATAAGTAATCTTCACTGTTTGTTCTCAATGCACAATTGAAAATGAGTGAATTTAAGTAAAATAGCCGGTTTCAATATAAGCTTAAGCTTAAATGAAAGGCAAAGTAGCTCCGACAAAAAGCACAACAAAAGCTTACGTGTCGTTCTGTTTTTCCCTTTCCGCCGTTGTTTCGCCGGCTCTCTACTGTTTTCTTTATCGACAGTAAAACAAACGAAACTATTCCATCCATTTCCGAAATGTTTTTCACTTTTTTAGCGAGAAAAACTCTTTGAGTAAAACTTTTCTAGTTGAATGTGTGCAAAGCGGCGCTGCAAGATGCAATAAGAGGCGGGAATTTTGTCGCGAAACTCACACACCTCTGTGGCTTCTGATTGGACGTATCATTTTTCTCACACGTGAAAAAACATCGTTCGCGATTCTGATTGGACGTATCATTTTTTTCACGTGTGAAAACCATCGTTCGCTCCTCTGATTTGCTACAACTAATCTGAGTACGAAAATGGCTTTTTGGCGAGTATTTCTCAGTATTTATATATAATAAAGAAACATTTCGGTCCGACCGACCGAAATGACCAGACCGGTCAAAGTGGACCACCTTCAAAGCTGGTCCCGAATATTCCGGTCGGACCAAACCGAACTGGTCCGTTCAATTTGATGTACCGACCGAAATTTTCAAAATTTGGTGGTGAATGGCCGTTTTTAATGCTAGAGACGTTAAAGTCGTCTTAGGACGACTTTAACGTCTGGTATAAAAACGGTAAATAAGGCAGACGACTTAAATGTCTGACGACTTAACGTCTTCTGTTAAGTGCGTCCGAACGACGCACTTAACAGACGACTTTAAGGGACTGGTCATTATTTATCGGGAGGGGGGGAGCTGGTGCAAATAGGGGGTGGGCCACCATTTTTTATGCATGGCTTAAAGGGGAGGCCATTAAAAAATATGCAAACGTTTTGCCAGCAAAAATGTTAAAAGCTTCATCTGGATGCCATCAAAAAATGCAGCCTATTAAAATAGCTTTATACAACAACTTTTATTAACACTTACAAAGCAGTATCTTACAACATTGATCTTATTTCTACTGTAAACATAAGCAGCACCATCATCATCATTGTTGTTGTCCTCATCATTTAATAATCATCATCATTGTCATCATCACCATTACCATTGTTGTCATCATCACCATTGTCATCATTGTCTGCATCATCATCAATGTCATCGTTGTCTTTATCATCATCATCATCATTATCATTATTACTGTCATCATCATAGGCATTATCTTGTTCTAGGTTAGTGTTTTCGTTTCTTGGAAAATTGTCTACATATTCACTAATCAAGTTTACAGCTTCAGTAGATGGTTGTCTATCTTCATACATAATTTGTAGATATTTCACTTGACACAATGATAATGTAGATGGAGCTTCCAATTTTAGATTTTGGATTTGAATTACTTCAGATGCAGAAGCATTCGAAATAAACTCTCGCACTTTCTGTATGTTGGCAGCTTTTCTCGAAACTTTCCATCTTTTGGCTTTCCTTCGGTTCTCTTTCTGAGAACGCTTTTTGGTTCTTGCATTCACATGGGGGGCATATTGGAACATAGTTCATGTCTTCTCTAACTTTTCCTTAAGGCTTTCTTCTATTTCTATCACCCTTTCTTTAACTTTTATAAGTTTGCCAATAAGTTTTTCATCAAATGTTTTTGGGTGGTTGTGTCCTGGAAGCAGTTTTCCTGCTTTGGAGAAATGATTACAAAAATGTTTTTTTGCACATTCCTCCTGCTTCTGGATGGACGTCTTAATATCTTGAACCATTTTCGAGTTGTTTTCCAATATAGGTAGGTCAGAGCGTGTAAATACGTAATCTTCACTGAAATATTTGCCTGCAACAGTCCATACGACAATTGATACAATTGTCTACACAGTACGGTCTGGGCGAAGAGCAACTGAAATCCAAATTTAAGGTAGCTTTAAATAGAATTTCTATCAGTTTGACACGGTGACTTGATACAAGTAAACACGATAATACTTTTTGTTTCATGCATGCCGGAGGACAAGGGGGGATGGCGGGGGGGGGGGTCGGCAAAAATCATGTTAAAGTAAAGGAGGGGTCAGCAAAAATCAAGCATGGCATATTTTACATTGCACCAGCCAAAAATTTGGCTCTTATTTTCTGACTTGATTTTTTCAGTTGTCACTCCCAAGGCTTAGCTATTACTCGTGGAAAAGGGAAAATGTTGATAACATCATCAATGAGCCGTATGCAATGGCAAACACCTTTAATAAATTCTTTACTTCTGACCAAAATTTTCCTGCTAATTATATGAATATGTTTCTGTAATGGGCTAAGCCGCTCTTAGATCCGGCCGAGTACGGGCTCATTGTCACGATACACAAACAAGACCGTATTTACTGTCAAAAGGAACCCCTGAACGAAAATACTATGAAAGTACCCCCCGAAGGGGAGGTGAATAGTGGGTACACCGAATCGCAAAGCGTCGAGGCATATATCTAGGGCTGTTCACCCACCCTGAGAAGGATAGTTGTTTTAGTATTTACCAAATCAGTTGGATAAAACTGAAAAAGTAGCTTTTTGTAAATTAAAAACGTCACTTTGTTTACAATTTACAAACATTTTGGGGATTTTGTCAAGTGCATTTTTTTTATTTTGTTGCAAATTCAGCATGTAAATAATTTTCTACCTACCCGTGAACACCGACCAGCTTAAGTTCGTCGCTTTCTTGGTATTTGTTTGTACGACTGCTTCATTTATCGCACAAATTTCGTCTACCGTAAATATCTCGAAACCAGACGCCATCTTGGTTCCGGTAGGAAAACAGTGAATAGCCAAGGATATTCCGAGTTACGGGAGCCAATCAAAACGCGCCAAAATTGCTATTAACTGATTTGGTAAATACTAATGTCAATTATTCTGAAATGTGTTCAAAATGCAAGAAATTATCTCTCGAACGAGAGGTTTTGCATGAAATTTGGACTATTTTTAGCAGAGATATTGAAAAGTGAGTATCAGGAAATTTCGCCGTGGAGTCCATACCGAAATTTACGGTGTTTTCAAAGTTAAAAACCAAAAGAAATTGAATCGGGTAGGGCAAAATATAAGTGGACCTCAAAGTAAGCATCTTTAACTCGCAGAACCGATGCAAAGTTGTTGTACCCGACGAACTTGGACGCAAACTAGAACACTTTAACTGGACTCTGTTTCGGCGTCTCATCGCCGACAGCCATACAAATCCTTACAGTCAATTTGCAAATCTGTTTACCGAAACGGATAAAAGTTGCAAGGTACGTATAAATGTAGATTCATTTAGTGTCACAAAAATACAAATGGAATTGATCAAAGTAGGCAAACTCTAATGCCTCTAGGACAGTCTCTTTTTTTTTTTTTTTTTTTTTGATTTTCGATCTTTTCTCAGTCATTTCTCTGTAATGAAAATTGGATTGATATTTTCTAAGTGTCGCCTGTCACTGCGCATATCGATTCGAAATTTCTGGCGATGGGCCACTATCTACAGGAAAGGGACTGACGCTGATACGGTTTCAGCACCAAACTTTTTGAAGCTAAAAGCATTCGTAAATAGCAAAATTACCGGCGAAAACAAGTTTGAAATACCAGAGATCACGCAGGAATTTCAATGGTCTAAATTATATCAGAAAACTGCAGGTCGGCAAAGCAACGGGCCTTGATGGTATCAGTGCTCGATTGTTGCGGGCAGCTGCTCCTGCTTTAACGTCTTCCATGACAAAGTTCATCAATATGAGTATCAATACTGGGAAATTTCTGGCGTGTTGGAAACAAGGTAGTCAGAGTCTTTCCTGTCTATAAGGCTGGAGACCGACTGAGTGTGGATAACTGTCGTCCAATCAGCATTTTATCCACCCTTCCTAAGCTACTCGAGAGACAAGTATATCCCTCAATGTATGAGCACCTCACCAAACACAATCTTCTGAGTATCCACCAGTCAGGATTCCGTCCGTATCACTCTTGTGATACAGCTTTGATAAAGTTAACAGGCAGCTAAATAATAAAGGATAAAGGACTAATATCTGGCTTAAATCTTACTGATTACCGCAAGGCTTTTGACCTGGTTGACCATCCCACACTGTTAAAGAAACTCTCCATCTATGGAGGCTCAGGTAGATCACTCCAATAGTTCAACTGATATCTTGAGGACCGTAAGCAGAAGGTCATGATACAAAGACGACTATCGTCTCCTCATTCTATTACGGCTGGGGTTCCTCAAGGCTCAATCCTCGGTCCACTATTATTTATTCTTTTCACCAACGACCTGCCACTGGACGTTTCCAAAAGTACTGTCAAAATTTACGCTGATGATACAACACAAGTTTCATTAGGACGTACTGTTAAAGAGGTAGAGACCATCCTCACTCATGAACTGAGGCTAAACCACAGCAAGACAAAGTCAATGATTGTCTGCAGCAAGCCGAAGTTTCGGGGCTTGAATGGTGAAAATCTTAAAGTGAGAAACGATAAAGCCAACTTGATTCTGTAGTCAGGGAAAGTAAACTAGTTGGCATAAGGTTAGACAACTGTTTAACCTAGGAAAACCATATGGCTCACGGTAAAGAACAAATAGGGAAGCGACTTGGCCTGCTGAAAAGGACAAAGAAATTTCTTTCCCTAAAAGCAAGAACCCTGGTCAATAACTCAATTATCCAGCCAATACTTGACTATGGGGCGGTTGTCTGGGGATCCAATAACAAACGGCACGTCCAAGATATTGTCAAATTGCAGAAAAGATGCGCCAGAATAATCCTGGACAAAAGATGGGTCATTCCCTCGAGACCTCTATTCAAAGAACTAAATATCTTGCCATTTGATAAAAGACTGGAGTACTTGCTGAATATCTTAGTTTTTAAGGCCCTCAACAATCTCGCACCAAATTACCTAAGAGCTATGTTCACAATGTATTGTCGGACACTCATAATGTGGGCACGAGAAACGCAAAGCACAATTTGATACTACCAACGGTTAGGACTAGAATGGCCAAAAATGGCCATGCCTACAGGTTTTGAGCAGCTAGGAGCTGGAACGAACTTGCAAAAGACATTAAAGAGGCCCAGTCGATCAGTACATTTTCGCTAAACCTTAAAACGTACCTTTTATGACCATAACATTTGTAACTATTGTTTGTAAGTAGGACTTTCTTGATTTTGTTTATTTATTTGTTTCATTTTTTATGCTTAATTTTTGGTTGATTGCCACGCGTATATTATCTGTGGATATTAAGTGAAACCTACACTTAAAAAAGTATCCATCTATCTATCTATCTATCTATCTATTTAAATCGAAAATTTTCGGATAGGCCGAAAATATGATGGAGAGAGGCAAAAGAAAAATTCTTACCTTCTTAAAGGGTTAAATTACATCATAGTTTTCGGGAAAATAATATTGATGCCCTGTTTTTAAATATTCTAAAAAGTTTGTTGTATATCGAAAAGACTCTGTTGTCATAAATTAGAGGATTGCTAGTCGCGAAGCTACTACTGAAACTCGCCTGAAAGAAAGCTTAGCACTCAACTACCTTTATTCGATCAGTATCCGTGATCTATGTGTACACGAAATATATCTCGCTTTCCGAGTTTCCCCGGGCCTCTGTACCAAAACGAGGTTAAGTGCGCAGCCTTTGATTGGAAATAGTTTGTCATTCTCATGCAAATAAAACTTATTTTCACAAGAAAGGTTGTCCCGACAGCACTTGGCCTCATTTAGAAAGTGAGGGTTTTTGTGACAAGTCGGAAGTGGCTCATTCATGAAATACACGACAGTGCCCTAGGATGACCGAACAGTTGCATATTTTATAGCGCTACGGCTTAGATTGCATTTCTAGATTTCTAGTTTAACGAACGATGTCATGACAACCTGACAGATGATTACGACTCCTATTTCCCCTTTATTTGACACGAAGAATGTTTATGCTTTGAAGACTCTTTTAACTATAGTGATTAGGACGTTTCGATCGATTACGATTAAACATTGGACAATTTTATTCTGAAGCATCGACTTATTCACTTTCAAATGACTTCCCGCTTTTATTTATTTCTTTTTCGACTCTTTTATAAAATATTTCTTAGTATCCTATCAATTATCTCATTTCAAATTATAGCAAAGAAATTGCGTTCGTTTATTATTTTTTTAGTTTAATTTTCTTCTTTCCTTAGAATTAATGCCTTCCTTTACCCTGATTGCATCAGTTTAAAACCGCCTGCCATGTTGAACAACACAAAGAAAACAAGTTTCCTGTGACGTCATCCATGTGTCTGTACTCTGACGGATCATGGACAACGACCGATCACAGCGCGCGAAGCATTCACATCATTGTACAAAATATTATAAATATTTACACATCTAGCAGTAGCTTAGATTTTTTTAATAATTTTTATCTATTATATATTTTAAAATACATGAAAATGTTTTGCCTTTTCTTGTGGAATTTATTGGAATTTGACCTTTAAAAGAGCTTTACTGTGTTGCGAATGTCCCTCGCTAGTCTTTCGTATTGTTCAAAATACTACTTTCTCAGTTTGGATAAATTTTGTACACACAACGGAATTAAGAAGAT